GAGGGTGACCTTGCTTGAAATGTAGACAAATATATAGCAATGCAGAATATCCCTCCATCTCTTATAGTTCCATTCATTGGTCATCAATACAATTTTTCTCGACAATCAATACAGGAATATAGGATTCCATGGGGGCCTCTTTGGTTCCTATTTTCTTAAAAAATAAAAATAAAAAAGACGACTTCTCAACATGTCCTAAATAGGATTAATGTGATAAATTGACAAGCAATTCCATCTCTTCTATCCTATTCAGTTTCTAGCCTTAACTCCCAACGTGATGATATTTTGTTGGTTGCGCAACATTTCCACATTGAGATCAGAAACGTGCCATCACATCTGATTAAGGCACAGTTGCTCCGTGTCTACACCATTTCAAAACTTTCATCAGACCTGTCGGCACTAAAGGGTTTGATGAGATGTCCATCGTCAAGAGGTGATTTCGTCACTTTGTGCAATACTTTTTCCACAACTTAGTGTCTCATTACTTCACAGTTTCTTTTCAGTCTTTTGTTGCCAGACTTTTGACTGTCAGCATAAAGGCTTTTTATTGTCAGGTCTACTTTGCCACTTCTTCTGGCCAGGAACAAAACACGTAGACAAGAAGAGACCCTCTGACTAATGCAAAGGACCCAAACTCATAATTTGTTCCCTCTCCATTAAAATGATTGCTTTCTGGGCCACACTCAAATCCAGGCCCAGGACAGAAGGTCCACCATGTTGAAAAAACCAGCATATGCTGGTTAGGTAAGTTTTGAAGCATGGCAGCTGGTTTGAGCTGGTTTAAGCTGATCCTTAGTTGGTCATGAGCTGGTCCTAAACTGGTTATTAGCTGGTTATGAGCTGGCCCTGAGCAGGAGCTAGTTGCTTAGGACCAGCACATGACCAGCTTATAACCAGCTTATAACCAACTAAGGTAGGCAAGTAATGGTAGTATTTTTTTTAGGACATGTTGCAGTATGGTATGATTCAATATCGTTCCACACATGTTCAAAGCATGGATAGCTAAACAGCTAATTTTGCAGCACCCCAGTGCAGAAATAAATTGTAATTGTATAGACATGCTCTTATTGGCTTAAAACCGGACATTTAAAGGGATAGTTCAATCAAAAATGAAAATTCTCACCCTCATGTCGTTCCAAACCCGTAAGACCTTCGTTCATCTTCGGAACACAAATTAAGATATTTTTGATGAATTCCGAGAGCTCTCTGACCCTCCCATAGACAGCAAGGATCCTAACATGATCAAGGCTCAGAAACGTAGCAAGGACATCGTTAAAATAATCCATGTGACATCAGTGGTTCAGCTGTAATTTCACGAAGCTACGAGAATACTTTTTGTGCGCAGAGAAAACAAAAATAGCGACTTTATTCAACAATTCGTCTCCTCCGCATCACCCAGTAGCGCCATTTTGGAGAGTATCACATACGTAAACAACGTATGCAACGTATGTACTCGGATACGTTGTTTACGCTCAGATCAAAGCGTAAACAACATATCCGCATACATACATTGTAGGGCTGGGTATCGATTCAGATGTCCCGATTCGATTTCGATTCACAAGCTCTCGATTCGATTTGATTCTTGATTCGATTCTCGATTTTCTTGATTACATTCAGTGAATATAGTTTTAATACAAATGCTATTGATATTTCAAAAAAATTAACAGTAAACATCAGTTTACAAATGGTAAATTAATAAAAAGAAATAAAGAGCCACAGGCCTGTATTTTAAACCTATTCTTTTTTTTTCTATTTTTTTTTTATATAGGGTCCTTTTGTTTAAACAATAATAGGGCCCTATAAAATGTTTTGCTTAATTTCTCTGGTAATCAGATGAAGGCATAAAACATTAATTTAATTTATCCTAATCAAATGAAAATTAAACCCTTTTATTTTTTTGGCAAACAAAGTGCTGCACAACAGAGGTTTACTGTTAAAATTAAAAAGAAAACAAATGTGATTATTCCTTTAAAAATAAAGATTTATTAATATTTATTAGTAGCAGTAGTAGAAATTCTTAAGACTGCTAAATAGTAATATATTCTGACAGTTTAACGTTAAACTAAACTTTTATTTTGACGGGTTGCCGTAAAGAACTTCCAGCTGCTGTGTATGTGATATGACGGTAGATTTCTCAAATGAAACGGTAAAATGCTAATAAGTGACTCTCAGAGCAGCTGGAATGACATTCGTGTTCATATCATCATATAGTGAGACGGCAGAAGCTGAAAACACCGCGAGCGTCATCCGCGCTTTAGTATGTGTGTAGTAAACAATACAGTGCGTCTGCTGCGCCATCCGCCATTCATTCATTGCGGAGATCATGGCACCTTATGTGTGATGTCAAATGTTTCCGCAGATTTGTAATATTACTATAGCATTTCACCTGAGCATTGCAACTCACACATATTGCTTTCTTGGTTCTTGTCAGAGAATCGATATCGAATCGATGTCATTTAAAAAAAACGATTAATCGAAAAATCGATTTTTTTTTTTTTGCTCAGCCCTAATACGTTGCATATGTTGTTTACGTATGTGATACTCTCCAAAATTAGGATCCTTGCTCTCTATGGGAGGGTCAGGGCCCGGTTGCATGAAAGTCCTTAAGTAATTTGACTTAGGGGTATCCCTGAGGGGGAATAAATCCCTGAGGTAAGGGATTTCTTTAGGAGCATTGCAACAAACGTCTTAACTGTCACCCTTACCTAAGTGTTTATACTAAGCGTTTCATAGTATTTTCTGGCAACATACGGCAATGGGCGCCGCGGGTACTATAGTTACTACATCTCACAATAAACAGATATGTACACATATCTATGACAATAAACAGAACATAATGAAATACAAACCTAACCAACTAAAACACACACAAACATTAATTAAACACGAGCGCTGCCTGTTTTTGCACTGCTTTTTGTACAGTGGTTACCGAGGAAACCGCTTTGTTTCTGTAGCAAAAGCGCCTCCTGCTGACCAATGACGGAAAATTTACCAAATGTGAAAATTAACCCATGTTTTGACGCTGCAAACACGCAGAGTTGTAAATGTGAACAGGTGGATCAACAAGATAATGCATTGTAAAAATCTAAACAATTAAGACAAATTATATTTATATTGTTATGTAATTAATGTAATAATTGATTAATAATAATTGTTTAAATTGATATAATAATTGATACAACTCGTCCATTTACTTAAAAATTTATATAAAACTTTGTTTTGTGAAAACCTGTAAGTCATGCTTTTTACAGTCATTTTACAGTTTAATATGTTACCATAGTCATTGCCCTACTGTGCTCATATATGATATTTTATTTGTGCAGGTCTTAAAAAATGTCTTAAGTCTTACATTTGAGTTTAAAAATCCTGCAGATACTAAGTTTAAGATGACTTAAGGGAGCTCTTTTGGTGAAATGGTTACTAAGGACTTTGTAGCAACACTTAAGGGAACACTTAAATAATTAAGGGGAATACTTAATGGCAGCCTTAAGGTTCCTTAAGTTGACCCTTACGTTTTTATCTTGCAACCTAAGTTTCACTAAGGGCTCCCTTAACCTTATAACTAAGGGATTTCTTAGCATAAGGGCTTTCATGCAACCGGGCCC